CACTTAAACGGGTATGTTTAGGTACTGACGTGTTACAGTTCACTTAAACGGGTATGTTTAGGTGCTGACGTGTTACAGTTCACATAAACGGGTATGTTTAGGTGCTGATGTGTTACAGTTGATTTAAACGGGTATGTTTAGGTACTGACGTGTTACACTTGATTTAAACGGGTATGTTTAGGTACTGATGTGTTACAGTTCACATAAACGGGTATGTTTAGGTGCTGATGTGTTACACTTGATTTAAACGAATATGTTTAGGTGCTGATGTGTTACACTTGATTTAAACGAATATGTTTAGGTGCTGATGTGTTACACTTGATTTAAACGATATGTTTAGGTGCTGATGTGTTACACTTGATTTAAACGAATATGTTTAGGTACTGACGTGTTACACTTGATTTAAACGAATATGTTTAGGTGCTGATGTGTTAGTGTATAAATGGTATGTTTCTTTAATTTTTTTTGAGTTGAGGTTTCTAAAAACCGTTTATTAACTGTAAAACAAAGCTTATATGAAGTATTTTGAGCCACCTGGGTATTTTCTGTATTTAACTTGTCATTTGATGTACAAACAATTTAACCGCCTACCCCAAAGAGGGAGGGAAGAATGAAATAATGTGGCAAGCAACTAGTTTTTGAAATATGTGTTTAAATTGGTGAATCTATCTCTTGATAGGCCTAGACATTTCAGTTGAGTCAAGATCCTAACTACTGATCTCACTCTTTACGCGCTACTATGTTTGTTTTGTTTTTCATTTGTCTTGTGCGGAGTAACATTTTTTTTTAACTTTACAGTTACGCACTCCTAAAGAATGCATGAGAAAAAGACAAAAAACGACAACAAAAAACAAGTTAAAACAACAACAACCCCGAACATAAAAGAAATGTTATGTCACACACTTTAGTTCATATTAGGACACAAAATGGCTCCAAAAAGAATATCTACTTTAGTTCATATTAAGACACAAAATGAGTCCAAAAGAATATCTACTTTAGTTCATATTAAGACACAAAATGAGTCCAAAGTAATACCCACTTCAGTTCATATTAGGACACAAAATGACTCCAAAAGAATATCTACTTTAGTTCATATTAAGACACAAAATGGCTCCAAAAATAATATCTACTTTAGTTCATATTAAGACACAAAATGACTCCAAAAGAATATCTACTTTAGTTCATATTAAGACACAAAATGACTCCAAAGTAATACCCACTTCAGTTCATATTAGGACACAAAATGGCTCCTTTAGTAAATTAACCAAACTTTCCCATCCGAATAATTTAGTCTCCCCAGTTGTTGGAGATTATGCGACATAGTTTACATAAAGGAGGAGTCTAGAAAAAAAAAAGATTATATTTTGTCATGTGACAACAGAAGTATCTGCAATAGAAGCGCCACGGTGTTTGTTCCTGAAGATAACTAACCCAGTCAACGCATAAGTACTGCAAGGCTTTCGAAAAAAAAAAAATATATATATACCGAGTGGTTAAAAGTTCAGACGACCGTGTTCAGGAAATCGATGGGCACAATGTTCTAAAAGTCGGTGTTAAGACTAAGTTGATAGATTGGAAGACAGTCAGTCATGTGACATCATTGTCAAACTGCATGGGGACTAATGGTATAAATGTCACATGTGACTTTATATTCAAGCAGGACGAACAGACATTACCATCTGTGACTTTATATTCAAGCAGGACGAACAGACATTACCATCTGTGACTTTATATTCAAGCAGGACGAACAGACATTACAATCTGTGACTTTATATTCAAGCAGGACGAACAGACATTACCATCTGTGACTTTCAACTTCTTTTGCAAACATTTTGTCCCTAATTTAGCAGTGTAAGACTAGAGGGAAGGCAACTAGTCATCACCACCCACCGCCAACTCTTGGGCTACTCTTTTACCAACGAATAGTGGGATTGACCATCACGTTATAACGCCCCCACGGTTGAAAGGGCGAACATGTTTGGTGTGACGGGGATTCGAACCCGCGACCCCCAGATTGCGAGTCGAGCGCCCTAACCACCTGGCCATGCCGGGCCCGGATTTCCTGTTACTCGTAAGACTAATTATTATTAATTGTAACTTTTATTGAAGAGTTGTAGCAGCTCTTCTGGTAGACATTTTTGTACAAATCACTCCAATATGTACATTGTCTTCTGTATAGTAAAATTGGTCTAAACACTGAGCTGTACAACGTTGTGTCCATCAGTGGGACCGTAGTAAGTCTTCGGACTTACAATGCTAAAAATCAAGGGTTCGATTCCCCTCGGTGGACACAGCAGATAGCCCGATGTGGCTTTGCTATAAGAAAACACGCACACCTGAACAGCGGAAGTGATTCTTTAAACTTCCGGTATTATGAGTAAAGTGTGTGTGTTTAGGGTGCTTTATTCATAGTGCATGTATGTCTTTTGAAAAATTCAAAAAATATATCGTTTGCTACGACAGGTTGATTACAAAATAAACTGAAAACCAAATCCGCCTTTACGATAAGTATATATGTATATTTTTTATGTTTATTTCAACATTAAATATGAAAGGTGATAAAAAAAAAATCCATACCAGAGAAATTATTTAATGTATTTTTCCTTTCTCATTTAGGCTTAGAGTGGAAATAGACCATGTCATGTGAACTGACTGTATAGGAACAACTTTTTCTCATATTCATAGTATTACTTGAACAATAGTAAAATCATCTTTTCTTCATAGAGTGAACAATAAATGATTAAAGAGGGTCTCCTCGAGTACACATTGTTTTGGAGACTAAAACACAAGAGTCAACAATTTCAAATGATCTAGAGAAAGAGATCATTGTTGGGTTTCTTTAGATATTTACAGCCATGATATGGGGATGTTTTGATCTAGAGTAAGAGATCATTGTTGGTGTCCTTTAGGTATTTACAATCATGAAACG